CGTACACTCTGGTTAGTGTTTACAACCATCACACAGACACAAAAACCCTTGATAAACTTTCAAGTTACCTGCAGTCAATGACCACAGGGCTGCTGGGGATCGGTGGAGATTTCAACACAGTTCTCAATAGATTTATTGACAAAAAATGGAACAAGATTACAAACAGTACTCATAGCAAATTGCTTTTATTTGTGGAGAAGTTCATGAAATCTCTTGAGAAGAACCCCATTAAGCAGGATTATACATATTACATAAAAGACTCTCCTGTGTCCAGACTGGATTACTTCTTTGTTCCGGAAGAATGTATGTGGCATGTCAGAAGTTGTGAAATAAGAGACTCAGAGATGAATGAAAACAAAGACCATCAGCCTGTGTCTTTAGAGACAAACATTCCTGCAATACCTTTTCAGAAAGATCGCCAGATACAAGCAGTCTTCCAATGGCTGAATTTAAAAAAGCATCTTTTGACACATGAGACGGGTTCATCACTGGATGAAGAATGCTCACATGCAGTCAGTGAGGTTGACATTATGTCAGCTGTAAATTCTCTTCAAGTGTCAGACACACTGAGACCAGACGACATCCCAGTTTCCTTCTATAAAGACAACATTCAGGATCTAATTCAATATATAAAGATGCTCTATGACAGAATCCACAGCGGTGCATTTAACTGCTCTGAGAAACACTTTAATGAAACTGTGAAAAGTCCACATGACAATAGTCAACACTTCTTTAACGTGGACTTCCTCATCATTGCAACTATTCTGGCAAGAAGTCTGGAAGACGTCATGGAGTCTCTTCCAAAGGGGCGAATACCAAAAGATTCAGCTACTGTCATGATCATTCCCAAAACACATTATGCTTTAATAAGTTTAAGTCATATTAAAGATGAGCTGGAGCAGCAAAAACGTTTAAACCAAACTCTGAGCCAGGATCTTCTCATTATAGAAAACCTCCTCAATGATGCAAAAGAAGATTTTTCAGTTGAGAAATACAAAGTGCTGCATCAGGGTTGCCCTTTGACTCCAGGACTCATTACACTTGCTCTGAAAAGCACAGTTATTTGACCATTTAGAAAACTTTGGGGGTTTTATTTTCAAACAAAGTGTGATAGTGTTTGCTTTCAACCTGAGGACCTAGATATGGTCAAAGCTACTGTGGAGAACAGTACTAGTGAATATATTATCCAGAGGAAATGGTGAACTGCTACAATTAAACTGCTTAGGAAACAATTGTAAGGATGAGGAAGGATGAATGGGACATGGAGACATTTCTGAATAACGAAGAAGAATCAGCAGAAAATTGCTCTCAAGTAGATGAAAGGGATGATGGGATTGAATATAAGTCTAAAATCGATGAGGAAGATGAATCAATGGATGTTGATGTAAGGTGAGGTTAATGAAAAAGGACATAGATATTTGGACAGAGAAACCTGAAGTAGTCTGAGCACATGGGTTAAAATCTTTGCTAAATTCTGACCTTTCCCATATACATAATAGCATATGCTTTAAACAAACCTTGATGCAGGTTAGGAAATACACTCATTCCAAAGTGACTTGCAGTTCTTGTGTTTTGTTCAGGAGAAAAAGTGATGAGCTGGAGCAGAGAAATTCCCTAATGTTCCCTTATTAAAGAGACTCACCCAGTTGTTTTTCAATATATATTATTAGTAGCATTATGAGACAAACTGTACATAACTGATTCTGCTTTAACACAATCTGTATTGTATAAAGCCCTACAGAAATAAAGTTGACTTGACTTGTTCTAATCTAAATTTACATAAGGAAACACATATGTAGTATCTGCTGATTTGCGACAGTAGCTCTGTACATATTTTTGAGGACCATAATTAGTGAAACTGCACATTGTTTAATTCGTGCTTTAATTTTTTTTTTTTATTATTTGTTTTATAGATCAGCCATTTCTGGAGCCTCAAAAGAAGAGATGGAAACATTTCATGGGATGAAGAAGAATACACCTCCACTGCTTCCTTTCCCATCACAATCTAGAACTTGCTCTGATGGTGAGACAATTAATTTTGTTATAATCAGAACAAAAAAAGTTCTTAAAAGTTCTTATAAATTATCATCTTTAATATGTTCTTTCCCCTCCAGGACTTTCCATTGACCCTACAATGGTTAGCCAAGGTATACGTGACTGGTACTGGCCGCTTGTGAAAAGTGTGACGATCAAGATACCAGACTGTCGTGAACTCCTGGAACACATTGCGCTTCTTGATCTTCCTGGGACTGGAGACTGCAACAAGATTAGAGATGACCTGTGGAAATCTGTAAATATATTTCTACACTCTTTTCAAAGGAACATCTTGCCATATACATTGTAGAACCACACAATAAATCTATTGTGCCACTATGAACCATAACTATGTCTACTAATCAGGGCCGGCGCTACCTATAGGCGGAGCAGGCAATAGCTTGTTTGCAATCACACAATTTTTTTCTCGCAATTCCGAGATTATATCTCACAATTCTGATAAGAAAAATCAACTACTCATTCTCTCTTTTCCCCTCGGCTCTGAATCATCTGAATCTGAGTTTATAATCCCACCCTTCTGCCTTTTTTCCCTCAGAATTGACAAACTCGCAATTGTTCAGTTAAATTCAGTTATAAAGTCTGAACTAGGAGATATAAACTTGCATTTGTGAGAACAAAAATCAGAAGTGATTAGGTTAATGTTATAGGTTTAAATAGTAGTCTATTTTATTCTGTAACTGCAGGGCTAATACAATATGTCCCCCATGAACTGCATATGTGAATATTATGTAGTCCTATGTATTATTTCATCCCTATGCCCTAAACCAGGGTTCCTCAAATCTTGCCCTGGAGGTCCAATGCGCTGCAGAGTTTAGCTCCAACCCTGATCAAACTCAGCTACCTGTGATTTTCTAATGATCTTGAAGACGCTGATTAGCTTGCTCAGGTGTGTTTGATTAGGGTTAGAGCTAAACTCTGCAGGAAAGTGGATCTCGTGGGCCAGATTTGAGGATTCCTGCCCTAAACCCTTCATAGGGTTTACTCTCCGAAGTGAGAGCTTTAAAGGGATGAAGGGTGTAGGGGTAAAAAAAAAACTTTTTTTTTTGGAATGCACTTCTGCATCATGTTAACGAGACGATCAGGAGGTGCCTTCGTCGCACATTTTGTACGCTGGTTGACCCCCAATCATCTTTTACGTTAAATATAATGTATATTTGTATATGTAATGTAATGTAATAAGTATTTGTATTTTTTTTTGGAATGCACTTCTGCATCATGTTAACGAGACGATCAGGAGGTGCCTTCGTCGCACATTTTGTACGCTGGTTGACCCCCAATCATCTTTTACGTTAAATATAATGTATATTTGTATATGTAATGTAATGTAATAAGTATTTGTAATGTATTTGAAACATTTGAATGGACTGATAAAGGTAGCTGTAAAGTATTTTTGTTGATGTACAATGTCGTTTTGACCATAATAATGTACCAAATCTAACTCGTATAATATTACAGTAGTATCGAAAAATACTATACATACATTTATAGGTGAAGTTGAACTCTGTGACGCCAAACAACTTCCCTGTGCAAAGGATCATGGGGGCCTGAAGTGCCCATCAGTTGTACCCTTCAAAAACTCTTCATTCTGAAGGGCCCTTTGAAGTTGCCAGTTTTGAGCACTTCAGTTTGGAATGACCCTTCAGTATGGCGGCCATGATTGTTTTCACTCTGAAGTGCCCTTCGGAGGGCGATATATCCCGTTTGGAACGCACTGTATCTAGTCCACCAGTAAAGACAGGCAGCGAAATACTAGCCTCATTGTTCATTGGATTTAATAAACCAGTTTGGTGTTTGCAAACAGTGATGACATTTTCTGTGGGCGGAGCCTATCTGGTGGCAGAAATAACAGGTTTAAAGTAGCGGTCTATGGAAGCCATAGAATAAATAATTTAAAAAAAGGTAATTTTGAGTTTGTATTTCAAAATTCTGACTTTTTTCTCGCAATTCCGAGATCATATTTTACAATTCTGATAAGAAAAGGCAGCTGTGACGTTTACTCCAAATTGGTCTATTGAATTGTCACTCACCTGCAATTAAACCAATATGTTGCCGTTTCAAAGCGGGTCCCGCTTCTGAATGTTTGCCTGCCGTAACGAACCGTAATAAACACCGGTTTATTACGAGTTTAAAAGAGCACGAGCACCATTGACGCGCCCAGATGCGATGCTCTGAATTTGCGCATACAATGTATAGGTGCGTTCGACTACCGCTACAGATGGCAGTCAACGAGAGTAGCCGCTTGCAGTCGGGGGCAGAGGTGAAAACGAAGCCGGACGGTGTTTGCGTACTCTATCACAGATGAAGTGAGTTAAATGCAATATTTGTCAAATACACAGACGTTTCAGAAACGTATTCATGAGCAACAGAAACACTTTTTATATACTGCTTAATACAGCACCATCTGTTCAAGAATAACTTGACTCAATATAACATTGCGACTACAGTAAAAAAGCTTTTACTGTTCTAAAATTTATGAGCAGTATTGGATTTGAAGATGTTAGAAACACAGGTCATTGTTGTCATGTGGTGAATTTGGCCAATCCTGAAGTCATCAGCCTCCTGCAGTCCCTCTGAAAAAGCTGCGCCAGCTGAGTCAGCTATCGAAACAATATCGCGGTACTTTGATGCCACACGTGACAGTGACGTAGCGTCGGCGCCGGTTCAAGTCAGGACAAAATTTCTAACCGGCATGCACTGCTTCAAGTCAGCCGCCGATCGGATTGCGCGGCGCCGCATGAAGTCGAACGCACCTAATGACATCGCGTCGGGAGCTGACTAGCAAAATGGCTACAATTTTTTTTTATTGCTTGAAGAACATAAATACCAAATAAATAACAGTAAGAAAAAATCTTAATACAATTCAAAGAAGTCCAAATAGCACCATAACAAAAAATACATGGATAAACAAACTAAACATAACAGGAAAAGTAAGAAAGAAAAACAAATTAACAAGAGCATTAACAGAGAACTGACCAGAGATTATGTCAATAAAGCAAAGGGAGTTTTGTCCTTGATCCAAAGCGGCCAGCTGGATCCAGACAAGAAAACGGTATGAGTCAGAATTAGAATCTTCAGAATGCTGCCATTGTGTATTATTCTGTAATTCACTGCTGTTGTATGGATGTGTTTTAGATTGAAATGAAAATCAACATCCGCATCAAATTTGAGAAGAACCTAATGAAGTCACTTATTGAACTGGACAAATATTTTGACAGCATTTATAATGATCTGGAGCAGCATCTCTCAAAGGGAGTGGACGAATCAGTGCAATTATGTGTTGCTTCCACAAAGGCACTGATAGCACCTGTGAGTGTGATTCAAATGTTTTGCATATCACCATTTTCTTGTCCTTGTAACAGTTTTTTTGTTTTGTTTTTTTGTTATTCAGAATAAAGATGGAAGGGGGTTCCATAAAATCCTTGGAGCATTGTGCAAGAACTACGGATGCTATTGGTCCAAAAATTGGGATGTAGTTCTAGACCTGAACAAAACATTGGCCAAACATTTGCACAAATGCATTGATGATGATTTCTGTCAAATTTTTCCGTAAGTTATGTTTTATCATTCCTTTTCTAGTCTCCCTTTGTGTAGTTTAGAATAAAATGCAATAAACTATGTATAATGCTTGTTGTTGATTTTTACTGGATTAACGTGATCAAGTTAAGTTTTTATGTTTAAGTACTTTTAAAAAACATTGTTGTTAATTATATTGTTGGCATTTTGTTTACAAATTATTAACGTTACATTGGAGCACAAACTGGAGCAAAGCTTGTAAACATGGACCAACTGTAGATTGCATGTAGAGCAGTAAACCAGGAAATGAGACAGATGCCTAGGAAGATTCTGATTGGGTTTAGTTTTGTTGTGGCAGATAATGTGTGCTCAATTAATTTGAGGCCAAATGTTTTGTCAAGGGAGCAACATCCTTATGTTGTCGCACATGACATCCGTGCAGGACCCAAAATATGAGTGGGTTTGAACTGGTTTTCCTTCTGGTGATGGGTCATTTAGGCCAGCCACATACACTCTGTAAAGGAAAAATAAATGATTTGCTCACCTCCCAAGTGCTTTCTGGTCTGAATCTTTCGTTAATTTGTCATATGACAGCAGCATATGTTAAACAATAGCAATATAAAGCAAACTTTGTGTGTTTGGTAATTTGGCCTTTCCCATCACTATTTCCTTCCAGTAATTCTCAGATTATATATCAAGAATTACAACTATATTCTGTTCAACTAATGTTTTTAAAATAAACTCAAAAATGATTTTTTTTTTGCTGCAGCGTGACTGGGAAAACAGGGAAGTCAATGCAGGAACAGATTGATAAATTCAGTATCATCCAGAGTGACTCTGCTTACCCCAGCTCTGACATACTACATTACATTCATAACTTCATCAAAATCGAGGTGAGTTCAGCTGTCCTCTTGGGGACACTAATGGGTCACACTCTGCCCCTAATCCGCCATGTCTGTCGTCTGTTGAAGTCTATTGGTGCTTTTCCACTGCCTGGTACGGCTCGCTTTTGGGCGGGTTTCACTACAGTATTTAGTACCCGGTACTTTTTTTAGCACCACCTCAGTTGAGGTTCTAAGCGAGCCGTATCAATACTAAAATGTGACGTGTAAACACTGCAGATCACTGATCGGTCAGAGAGACACCAAGCCCACTAGATTTAAACAGTCAGCAACAGCCACCACAGTATCATTTGTTCACACAACTTTTTTAAACGACCGTCGCATGCAACTTGAAAAAATAAATGGCTGTATTGTGGTCAGACGAGGTGGTGGCACAACTATAACGATCAGTCTATAATCCCACCCACTTTGAAGCGGTGCTAAACTGCCATGTAAAAGCAAATCGAGCCAAAGTAAAGCGAGCCGGGCTGTGCCACACAGTGGAAAAGCACCACATGTGAATCCTCATTCCTCATAATTAAGCAGGCTGTTTTTATAAACCAGTAATCACTGAAATACACCAAACAAACTTTTAATGTAGGACTGGAATAAGCAGGGACTTAATGTTTCTAGATTTATCTGACTGTTTTATGTATTTCCCCTTTTGAAAGGAAACCAAACTGAAGGCAGCGCTCAACAGAGACATTGTTGACATGAAGATGGACATCTACTCATCAATAAAAATAACCATTTTGAATCAAATGGCTTCTTGCTATCAGCGTAAACTAGCATTAAGAGTTACAATTAATCACCAATTATTTTAATGTAGATTGTTTACTGCATAAAAGAAAAGCCACTCGGCATGTCACAAAATACATTTAATTCATAAAACGCACATCCAAGAATTGATTTATTTCCTTGCTCTGAGGTGTCTCTATGAGAAAGAAAATGAATGAACACTGAGTATTGTTTATTTTAGAAGCTGCAGCTGTGACAGGAACAGGATCCATGAAGATAAAGCAAGATCTGTTAATATCCACAGTCGATAATGTAAAACAAGACATGTTCAACAAAGCAAAAATGGAAGTGTTACAAAGGTTTAATAACTTAAAGGTACTGATCTCACATTCATTAAGATCATCTATTCAGCTGTACAATGACTAAAGTCAAATGGAATCTTCTCGTTTCTTTGTAAAGCTGGACATAAAGAGTGCTCTTGAACATGAACTACAGGAAGCAATAGAACGCTCACAATCACAAACCGGCAAAAAGACACGGATGGGTAAAGATGTCACCACAGAAAAGTTCAAATAAACAACCTTTTGCAATGTCAAGTATTGACTGCTTAATTTCAGTCGTTGCCTCAAGTAATATCTTGTTACGTATCTCTTCTAGATGTCTCCAGAGAGATTGAACAGCTGGAGAGACTTCTAGACCAACTGTCTGACTGATGCTCAACAAACAATAAGAAGCCCAAGAGAAACAGCACAAATCACGAAAGAAGCATAACAATTGTGTAACACATTTTCAGTCAATGTTTTCTTTAGTTTTACAACAAATATTTTTTATTAAGATGTATTTGTGTTGTTGTTGTTTTTTCCTATGTTTATTTGGTGGAAGATTAATTTTCATAAAATTTCTGAACTTTGGGTTTTATTTTAGGGTTGCATGATACACAAACTGTATACTGGTTTGTTGTTTTTATTATAACTGTTTTATAGCAAAACATGGAAAGTACATTTAAAAACATAGCTGTCAAATTTTCAAGAACCTTAATACATTTCTGTCAGGACCAAATGATTGACACTTGGCATACAGTTTGGAGTGGCGGTATGGTTCTGTTCTGGGTAAAAACTCCCTGCCAATCCATGCAGCTTGTCATGAATGAGAGGGGAGAGCAGCAATAACCCCCGTAGGGTTAACAGAACAGAACCAAATGTAGCATATAACATTAATGTTCTTAATGACATTTTAGTGTGACATTATTTAAGATAAAAGGAGTTTGATTCAGGAAACAAGGAATATCAGAAAGCCAAGTATTGACTGTGACAAGAGGAGTTGGGGATGGAGAGGGGTAATTTGCTTCTGAGCAACTGATAAAGCTCCTGAATAATACTGAATAGACCTCATATAGGAATGCCACGATAGGCATGTATTCATAGATGATTGTTTACACTTTCAGTGTATATAGTGCATATTTAAAGGGGTCATGTGATGCGATTTCAAGTTTTCCTTTCTCTTTGGAGTGTTACAAGCTGTTTGTGAATAGATAAGATCCCTAAAGTTGCAAAGACTAAAGTCTCAAAACCAAAGAGATCTTTATAAAAGTTAAGACTCGTCCACGCCCTCCTAAAACACCTCATTTAAACACGCCCCCACATGTCTACGTCACGATGTGGGTAGATTTACATAACGCAGCCCAAATGTTCATGAAAAGAAAGGCGGCGCAACTTTATTGTTGCTGCCGCCGCCATGCTGTGAAGACGCTGTGTGTTTCGTTGCGAAAGCGAAAATACTTTGTTTGGCCTTCCAAAAGAGGACACGACTAGAAATCAGTGGTTAAGTTGTATTTACAACACTGTTCCAGAACACTTCAACCCAAATATTCAGATGTGTCCAGTGCATTTTATGGAGGACTGTTTACTGATCCTGGGAGAGTAGACTACAATGCCGGCTGTTCTGACTCACAGTCTGTAAGTACGTTTTCATATTTAAAGAATTTGCCACTGATGATTCAAACGTGAGTTTTGAGCAGTGTAGGGGAGCATTTGTTGTTTGTCATTTCTCCGATCACAAATGCAGACATGGTTTTATGTTTACGCGGTGCGATGCAATGCAAAGCGTAAAATGGCAGTATGAGTCATTATAATCTGTAATTATGTCCCCACTGGATGAAACAAATGCCGGATATATATCCACATATATGTGAAAAATAATGTTTTTTGAACCGTAAAACGCATAAACACATTTCATTACACCAAATACACAAAATAATGTTATTTTTAGCAACATCATATGACCCCTTTATTAAGGTAACAATGCAATACATAATATCCTATTATTAATATTAATAATATGACTATATCTGTAGTCAGTATTGATTGAATAGGAGGGGGGGGGGTTTAAACAACTTTTTAATCATCAAAAAATCCTGAAAAAAGTATCACAGGTTTTAAAATAAATGTTAAGCAGCACAACTGTTTCTAACATTGATAATAAATCAGCAAATTAGAATGATTTCTGAATGATCACGTGACACTGAAGACTGGAGTAATGACTGATCACAGGAATAGATTATATTTTAAAGTGTAGTAAAATAGAAATCCATTATTTTAAATTGTAATATTTCACAATATTAGCGTTTTTTCCCCCCTGTATTTTTGATTACATAAATCCAGACTTGATGTCCAAACTTTTGACTGGTATAAATAAATTTTTTTAATCATCAAAAAATCCTGAAAAAAGTATCACAGGTTTTAAAATAAATGTTAAGCAGCACAACTGTTTCTAACATTGATAATAAATCAGCAAATTAGAATGATTTCTGAATGATCACGCGACACTGAAGACTGGAGTAATGACTGATCACAGGAATAGATTATATTTTAAAATGTAGTAAAATAGAAATCCATTATTTTAAATTGTAATATTTCACAATATTAGCGTTTTTTCCCCCCTGTATTTTTGATTACATAAATCCAGACTTGATGTCCAAACTTTTGACTGGTATAAATAAATTTAAAATGAACTGTTGTATAAATAAAAAGGTTAGGAATCATATTTGTTTCACGTGCTTTTTATTGGGGGTGGGGGGCCTACAAATGTCTAGAACCGGTCCTGCATTTAGATGTCTTTTTCCAAACTGACTTACAAATTAAGAACATTACAAGCAATCCCACAATTACTGACCATTCCATCCATGCATTACAATGCATAAGCCTTTTTTAAGGTCTAAAAAAAATCACTCTCGATGGAGCTTTGAACTACCACTTGGAAGTATATTCACCTTATTTTGCAACACAGAAGTCAGCAATTTTCTGTGAATGTGCAAAACTTAAGATTCACAAGCTGTTATATGTAATGCATTAGGTATTATGACAATACACTAAAATAATATAAATACCAGTTTGCAATATCAAGCAACATAAGCTGTTATGTACAACTAAAATTAACTGGAAGAGAAGCCTCGCAGATTCAAGTTACACTGGCTGTGCATTGAGATAAATGCAAAGAAGTAAATCTTGCTTTCTTTCTAATCACGGTCTGGTGTTGAAGCCAAAGTGATAAGCTGAAACAGTTTTATTATACATAAGTACAGTATTATACATATTATTGTGAGAGGCTTTGTAAAACATTTTTGAGAAAACAGGTTCAGCTGCTTACTAGAACTGGTGACACGGATATTGGTACAAACAGCATTGTTAATACTTTAAAGGGAGAAAAATGAAGTATTTATTTTCAATAGGTGTACTTTGTAAAGCAATTTCCAATGCTGCTAGACCTTTCGGAGTCAATTCACCAATGCGAAAATTCATCAAGTGAAGCTCATATACAGAATCGTTGTAACACAAGCTTGATAAGGAATAATAATAATATATACAGGTGCAGTAGGAAATCACACACAGTCCTATCTCAGTTAAGGCAGAGATCAAGCACAGTGATGATAATCTGACCCACAGAATAGTCAATAAACAGAAGTCAAAAGCAGCACAAATGATATTGACACCAACTGATCTCGGGTGCACCCAGCATCTCTCAGACTCAGACATCTTCAGATTGGGTTCAGTTTTCAGAATTCCATTACTTTGTGGGTCTGGAGTCACTGGGATTGAGGTAGAGGACGTCGGAAAAGCAAGATATGCGGTTCTATAAAGAAAAGAAATCATGAACATGGATATCAACAACAGTGACAACAGTAGAGATGGCACATATTTGGCCGATTTTCTGACATCCTAGCAAACACGCACATACCGGGCTGATGGATCATGTAATGTACCCATCCTTGACTCTGCTGAACACCCAGATTCCTCCATTCTGTCTCTGACATCAGATGGGTCTTGGGAACTCTTTTAGCAATGTCCTTGGGAAGCACGACATGCCTGAAAATGAATGGAAAACAAAACTCTCATTATAAATATCTGCAGATGACGTCCTTTTATCAAGCTCAAGAAAAAAATACTAAAGTATCATGTTTCTACTTTTTCTAACCTTATGAAAATTGAATGTGAACTAAATTGAAACTTCTTTTTTTTTTTTTGATACAACAGATTATTGTTATTTGTACATGTAAGTTAGCACTGCGGTCTCAGGCACTCCAAAACATAAAAACTGAAAACATTAATTGTAAACTGTACAGATGGGTTGAATATTTGCCTACCTGTACTCGAATTTGTCGTCGTCATATTTGTCAGAGTAATAAATCTGCTTGTGGGACATAGCGTGTTGTTGTTCTGGATGAAAAACATATGAAATAACTGCTATATCATAAACATTCAGTTACATCGTTTATGTATAGTAAATTTATACTTGTTCTGACGTAAATAAAGGACAATGGTAGATATCAGATTTACTTCTCAATAAATGCAGAGGGATTTTATTAATACAGGTTTCAGATTGTTCCCTCCAATGCTGGCTAACGTTAGCCACTCTAGCTAACGAGAGATTAAGGTAATTCAACGTTTATTCTAGATTAGTATATCCATGCATGGTACTTACTGTTTATTCTTTCTTGTAAATGTAATAATTGTGGCGATTACTTAATCAAAAAAAAGTGTGAAAACTATTTTTCCCAAACGCAATCTGCAAAAACAGCCACTGTTTACGTTTTCCTGGCGCTTGAACTTCCCTCTCAGCGAGTTCGAAGCCCGCCCATAAACATTCGAATCTTCACAAGCGCTTTCTGATTGGACAAGATGCGACGACGTCACTAAAAACGGTCACCCCGTTACGTTTCGCAAATAAAAGTCCCTATGGTCACTTCCAGAGCTGTGGACATTTACGAAGGCTTAACTTCCTCTTTTTAAGCTGAACGTATGTATTGTCTGAATGAATTCTGAATGAAAGGCTTAACACTTTATTTTTTGTATACCCTAAATTTAGATTTATTTGAGATATTGTATTGAACTGCATTTACTATGTCTCTTGCACCGTTGTAATACCGACAAACAAATGAAAATATCACAAATTAATACACGAATAATGCTAGTAAACACTCAGTTGTGCACGTCGTCACTGAGCTCTAGAGGGCACTAAGACCTAATCTATGAAAATATCAGACGAGATCAATTTTATATTATTGTATTGCTTTTCAAGTGAATTCGAATGGCGTTTGTTTCTGCTTTCTGCACATTTCAATGCAATTGGTCCTGAGCTTCTCAATAATAATCATTGTCTTATTATTTGACCATTAAGATATTTCTCCTCTTAAAATAACAAGAAACGGGTGATATACGAAATAAAGATTTATATTTTGTACTAAATGCACTTGTATCTGTCTATCTGCGCAGGAGCCCAACGATTCACAATAATCATGATTAACAATTTGACTTTGCTGTACAGTATTCGTGGATATTTCAC